AACTTTATGAAACTGAAGGAGAAAAGCCTATCACCAGTACTAAGTTTCCATCCTCCTCACAAAATTACTGTCAGATTGGATTTTACAACCGATAAGAAATACCCATTCTTTGCTTAAGATGACACTTCAGGTTTACAGGCATAGTTATGACAGACCTTCTCCAGGTTAAGGCTGGCCTGGTCAAGTGTGTCTTCTGGATTCTAGATCCTGCTACCTAGTGATTACCAACACTTGTCTGCATGAAGGTGATCAATGAAGAATCAGCAACTCCTGACTGCCCAAATTAGTTGGGAGTAACAAGTTAACACGGTCACACAACGTATTAGTACAGTCTAACATGACTTTTAGAAGGCACCCCATCACCATCTTGGAAGTCCTCAAGTACAATACATTCAAGCATAGCTAAACAAACTGCTTTTTGAATTGCCTTTTGTCCCCTACCAGAGCCTTTAAAAGTTTTTCCAGACCCATCAAGTGTTTAAAGTATACTAACAACCAAGGCTTTTTAAAGAAGGCTGAAGATTTATTCCACAATTCCTAATAGCTGCTTAGGAAACTATCTTAAAGTCAAAGCAGCAGCATTAGAGTATCATCTGGTATACTGAAAGTGACATACTAACAGCTAGCAGCAGTGACAGGAGGACCCTTGGCTTTGATCTCTCTTCATTCATAGACACTAAAATTTGTGCTTGTATACCTAGCATACTTTTCTAAAACAGTAAGGCAAGCCACTGTCTCCCAGTAAAGAAACTATATGATACAGCGTTCTGTACCTGTCTGCCCAGTAAAACTACATTTAAAAAAAACCCATATCTTATCCTCTGTGTTTCGTGCTTTAAGGAGAATTGGCTGGTTTGATATTTAAAAATCACCTTCACAGGTCAAGCACCTTTATTGAGTTACTACCCTTAATATTTATTTTAATGAAATACTACAAAGCTCTACATACAACTAGTTACCATCAAATCTACCAATACCTTAATGAAAGCCTAAGAATGTAGTTCTGTGTAAATCCTTCACCCTCAGAAAACTGCCATGAAGTAGATCACACCAAGCTTCTGTGTCTAGCTGAAAATTAAATGCCACAAACTACCTGAAAAAAGGGTTGTCTTACAAAGAGGTGCAGAAGAAAGGTACAGTTTCTAATGGCAATACTTAATTTAACTAGCAATTTTTTATGTAACTAGTGATTTCCTTGCATATTTTAGAGATCTGCAAATGCTACATTCTTTGAAGTAATATATGCCATCTATTATGTGCATCTTTCAACAGCTACAAATGAGATTTAATAAGCACACAACTGTGATGGGAATTCTCAGTTTAGTTTACCCAACAGTAGAGCTGAAAGTGCAAATGCACAATAAAAGTTGTTCAAGGAGAACCTTAGCTACTTAAAATGGAAGAGGACTGTTTTCAGCATGATACAGAGCAAACAAGGTATTTAGCTCAGGTTAGAAAGTAAAACCTTACTGAAACTAACTAAAACCCACAGGCACTTTATTTAGACAGCACAAGCCTACTGGTTTATATTCATGATAAAACATATGTATTTTAGCATGTATTTTAATACTACTGTTACTGATCAACAAAGACAAATTATTTGATTTCCCCCATGCCCTTATGTTATAACATAGCAGACACATTCAAAGAGTTGCAAACATCAGATTTGCATAAAACTACTGAAACAAAATATACCATAATGCTTGCCAAAAAAACTCTTGGCCTCCAACCATAACTTACAGGCTTCCAGAAACTCAGGTTGTTTCTTGGTTTTATTCCTACAGAAGTTTGTTCAAAGGGTTTTTGAACCCATCTGTTACCTCACCCATCCCAACACTGCAAAGAGTTCCACAGCTTACTTTATCTTCTTAATCTTCATGTGAGAAAATATAAAAATAAAGTACCTCAAATGTTTTGCCTTCCAGTTTTAACTATTAGGAGGAAATGGGAACAATTGTTCACTACCTAACTTCTGTACCACTTCTAAAGTAGCTTTACAGACTTCCACTTACACCCTTCTCTTCAATACACACAGACCTCTTCATACAGCCACTTCCCTACTTCAAACAGAGAGCTCCAATCTACTCAGGATTCTGCATATGAACACTATCTTATACTTTTGATAGGTATTAAATGATGAGAAGGGATGATAAGAATGGAGGAGAGAAAAAAACAGAAGAATACAATATAGACAGTGAAAGGACACAGTGGATTCTTATACTGGAACTACCATTTTCTTGCTGCGATGGAAGAAGTTTGTCTTTTTACAGTATAACTAAGCATGAATCACTAAAAATATTTTTAAATAACCTCAAGTTCTACTATTACGCAATAATAATGGGTCTTGTTTAGACCAGATTATTTTGTATGCAACAATGTGACTGTTGTCTTGAACATTTTTCTGCATGTTTTATGCAAATCATGGTAGATGGTAATAAATTTGCCACAAATAACCCAAATGATCCAGAAGTTACCTCCTTCAATTTGCTGCAATCTTAACTTCTGGCTTATGAATTGCAAGGTATGTAGGCACATAACCCAAGATCCCTGAAACCACTGTTTCAGATGTAGGGCTTAATCTCCATAATTAAGCCAGAGTGATTTAATGGGTCACTGCATCCATCACATCCAGCAGTAATGGGATGTTCAATCAACCCTTCTTTGACCACTCACTCACTTTTAGTTTACAGCTTCCTGTGCCTGGAAAGCCTCAGCTGGTAGAAGTACCACAGGTGAGCTCACAGTGAAGTAATTACTTCAAGGCAAGCTTTGACCAAAAAGGAAAGCCCTCTTACATAATTTCTGGGAGCAACAGAGACAATGGAAAAAGGGAACAAAACAGCAACTGAGAATGCTAACCTAATAGCTCATCAATTAAGAGATGACACACAAATCTTGCTTCCAATGGGGAAGTCTGAGATTTTAAAGCACTAGTTGCAAAGGAAAGCACAAAAGCTGAGTGATTACCACTATGCCTTTGTTCCCTCATGCTATTCTCATACAAGAAAAATCGGTTTCCTTGTTTAAGGATAAGCCAATTCTCTATTTTAGCAGCCCTGAAACCCAGAAAGTTTTATTTTAGGACCATTTTAGTAACTACAATACACTCAAATTTTATTCTTTTCTGCCTTTACATTTGAGAGGCATTTTTAGACTCATGCAGAAGTTCAGCTTAAGACTCAGAGCTATGCTCAAGTTGAATTTTGACCCCCTGGATTCATGGTGAGAGCCATGCACAGCTCTGTTTTACAAAGTACCTGAGCATGTGCAGTTTTGTTTAAAGACTCATTCCATTTGAAAATTATACAAGTATCTTTTTACATAGCAGCAGAATAACGAAGAGAAAAATTTTAGTGAGTTGAAGCTCAAAAAAGGTAAAATATTTTATCCCTGCCACAATATCTTCTAAAACAAAATCCATACTTATCCCCTCTTGTGTTATAAATTACCACTTTATCTTCTTTTAAACACTAAACAGTTAGTTTTTGGCAATTACTTTTGCTAACACACCACACTAAAACTTGAAAAGCTGACAAGATAAAGACAATTTGCTATCTTGAGAGAGGTAGCACCTCCTTTATTTCAATTAAAGTAATTGATTCCTCTACAGGTCAGATCTTTGAGAAGTCAGCAACATGTAAAAGTCTGACAGACATAACATTAGATGTTCTGAATCTCATGAAAATCCTCCTTTCTTTACTCTGCCTTATCCCAAACTGAAGTTGCCAGTCATATAGAAAGTGACCATTACAAGTCTTCAGAAGTGCAAAACCTATTTCCTCAGAAATACAGAGTTATACCTTACTAGTGTATATTCTGACTCTGCAGGGCTACTCACAGACAAAGAAAGCCCATTCAATACTCAGTGTCTACAATATCTTAGAGTAAGTAAATTAAAATCTTCTAAGCACAATCATGGGTATTAGTAATGAAAAAAAACAATTGCACATTAAGCACACTGCATCAATGAACAAACTCTTATTTGTCTATTCACTACCTGCGTGAAGTTCTGCTCCTTGTAGAATTATTTGCTATACTGCCTATCTATCATCATGCAATTACTTGCTCCTCCTACTACCAACAGCCATTTGAAATACAAATGGCACCTTTGAACATCTGGTCTGCATGACTTGGAGCTGTACCCGGTCCCCCACAAAACCAATATGCAGCACTTTCCCGTGGCTACTGAGGAATACCTTATATGCTACTGAAACATCCATAGGGAAACAAATGCTAGAATAGCAAATGATCACAGAAAAGAGTCAGCAAAACCCACACATGTACCTTAAAACCACACAGACAGAGAAAGCTTCTAAGAGGGTGTACAGGTCTTCTGGAAAAAGAATGGGAAGCAGCTCTCTAATGCTAAGCTTCCAGGGAGCTCAGGCAACTCTTAATACCATAAATTAATCTGAAAATACTTTAACAATTGACAAAGCACAGTGACATAGCATTTCCAGTACAGTGACAAAACTTCAGCGTGTCAGATGCTTCTTTTTTGATTCCCTGTTATCTTGCTGCAATTGAGCTGGCAGGTAGCTATTAAGATAATGAAATACCTAATAATGAGAAAACTGAGTAATTTTTTTACCAGACCTGCATATTTTATATTGACACGTGCAGTTTTTATTTGCTTTCATTCTAAGTCTGAACTGTCTTCCTTGCTATTCCACATCTAATTTTGAAGGCAGATTTGAAAATCTTGTCTTCATTGGGTTGTGCAAACACTTAAAACAAATACAAGCACAACAAAACTGACTGATCACCAGCCACATTTTGTAAAAGCACAGAAATGAATGTACAATAATTTATGCTTCCTTCTGTATATTGATAAAACAAGTTTCAACAAAGAAATATCTAGACACAGCTCCAGGTTTAAAATTCACTACAAGAAATTTATTCTAGGAGACGCGCAAAAAATGCAGTAGAAGTACCAAGTCTGTCATCTCAAGTAAAGGAACAGGTCTTACAACCAAGTATACAAGGTTAGTGAGACTCACCTTCCCTCATTGATCTTTCCTTTGTCTCCTTGACAAGAGAAGTTCTCAATGTAACCTAGACTGCAGTTGATCCGTGTCCAGTCAGGCTGGCACACAGCGAGGAAGTGAGGACGCAGTCTCCCAATGGAGTACTTGGCAATGTCTGTCAACGACTGGCTGGCAGCTGCTCCAAAAATGAAGGTCCCAATGGCTTTGTAAATAGTGGCTATGTAGTTATTTCTGACAAATGAATTTGAGTGCAAATGATTATAAAAGACAGAGAGGGTCTCTCCTAGGATTATCTGGAAAAGAAATAAGGACAACAGTTAAAGATAAATGCTTGAAGAGGAAGACATTACTCCACTGCTGTTAATATTCACACATGTAGTTTCAGAAATAACTGTTTTTAATAAACTTTAAGCTGCAATTTGAATTTTCCAAGAGTCAGCAGTAATCATGCCTAAACTTTAAACAGTATTATGTAGAAGAAAACCTTTTACTTTACCCTGCTTCATGTTGAAGTTAGTATCATTGATTTTCAGAATATTTATTTTTTAGAAGTCTTCTCAGAATAACATTTATCCATATTAACTGGCATGGTCCTAACTAGAAACATTTTCTCTAGTCTACACATTGAATCATCGTTAGGGAGACTTATGCTGAGCAACATTTTTCTTATTTAATCATGAAGTTTTGAGGATTTTTGTGAAGTCAGACTTTTTTGAAGGGTCTAGACGTCATTTCCAGATGCGAAAGGACAGCTATTTAAACAAGGGCATTTCCTATTCCTCAGGAAAATTAAATCTTCCTGCATGTCACCACACATCAAGTGTTGATAGGAAAGCAGATTTAGTTTTGTTTCCTTGCAACTTCATCTTTTGCAGAAAATAAGTTTTTCCATAAACCAAGTAGAAAACTTCACCCCAGACAGGCTGGATATTGAAACAGATGGTCCCACTGCGTACAGAAAGGCTCAACATGTACAGATGGTCCGCTGGGTGGGGAACAGTATGATACATAAAGTGATCTTTAAAAATCCTGTAAAGATTAAATGATGAGTCCATCTGTCACTTTAGAGTGACAAGTCCAGGATCCCATCAAAGCACAGCTTTGGTAAATGAAGCTGTTACTAGACACTCTGACACCTGGGCAAAGTAGCTGCCAGGGGCTTTGCACATTAAAGCAAACAGATAATCCCATCAGTTTTACACTCTCCACCCTACTGAAACAATGACTGAAACAGAGAAACACCAGAACATTGATTAAATCTGAGAAAGCTTTCAGTAAAGTAGATGTTGGTAAGCTCTTATACAGAATCTGCCTATCCCAGAGAGTAACCTCTCAATTAAGATGGCTGAGCAGAAATCACAGTCATCATTGGTAAATTAGTCCTTTTAAAGAACACTGCTGCAAAACCCGCAAGAAGGTCACTTATCTCAGTTGAGATGACAAAATATTAGGTGATGTCAATGCAGCTGCTTCACTTGACAGATTTCAGAGTATTCATTTTCAATAATCTGACTAAGCATTGAGTAAAGGACACCAACATTCTCTCTATCTGACCTTAAATCAATCTTGGCAGAATAGCCTGATTTTGCAACTGAAAGATGGTCCCTAATGTTACAAAGCTAACTTGGTTATCTACTTGGTTCATATGGAAGTTGGATAAATTGAAAGGAAATCCATTACTGTATTCACTGAAGCCTTTTCTGACTGGGGAAGTCCCTGAGCTGCAAATGGCTGGTAGCAAAGTACTGAGGGCAAAACATCAATCTTTCCTTGCTCTATTCTTCTCTTCTTCCTCACTCATATGTTTTAACCACTGCTAGAAGTAAGGTAACAAGCTAGATCAACTTCACTTGTCACCAAGTACTGCTGCTCTTAGAAAACAGACTACCTATGGTACTGACAGGCTGAAAAAGTCCTGTCTCACCACTTGGCTAGTTAATAGAACAGACAAAAAAAACCAAAACAAAACAAAGTTCAATCTGCTCTGGAAGTGTTTCTGGAAGTTTTTGAAGCAGTTTTTCCAAGAAAACAAAATCTAATGATGCCACAGTTTTTACTCCCAGGCCCACATTTCTGCAATTATGAAAAAAAATCCACCCAAGAGCAAATATAAGCTACAAGCTGACCTTTATTTGAAACCTAAATAAAAATCCATACAGTACTTAAACAAGGAAGTATTTTAGATTGCCATAATATTCTTCCTGATTTTAACCCATTAGCCCAGAGAAACAGCTGGCCAATACTGAGAAGTGAATGTTAAGGATACAGAGTCACTGTAAGCTTGACCAAGTTCAACTGAGCTAGGAGGTGTGGTTAAAGAGGGAGATTCCCAAACTGCCAGTTGCTTAGGCAAGCTCTCCAGCTCACTGATCAGGTGTGAAGAGGAAGGAGAAAGAACAGTACCCCATTTTCTACCATGTTAGGTGCAGAAAGAAAGCGACCCTAGCCTTAGCTCAAACACAAATGGGCCCACCATTTTAACCAGACCTCAGGGGAAATAACCAGGGATAAACTCCCTGGCTACCTATTCTTTTTATTCTAGTGAGTCTATTGATAAGTTCTGACTGGATCCAGAATATTTGTCTTATGTTAAAGAATTTACTATCTTGCTACGCTTCCACACAAAGTATTGCCAATGACCTTCTAGCAGATTAAAATGCTGACTTAATAGGTCATGTAAACTCATATTCTAAAAGTAGTAGCTCCCAAAATACAAAAGCTTGAGACAGTAATTTAAAGTACATAATTGTTATTCTTAACTGATACAGTAAGGTAGGAAGATTTTATCTTTCAGACTATAGAATTAAGCCACCATAGCTCTATAGTATTTTTTGTTGTTGCTGTTCTATGCATCTTTTAGCTGACCTCAATTAAATTAAACCTTTTAGTTAGTCTTGCCAGACAGAACACCATTTCTGGTTTAGCACCTGGTCTAAGGACAGTATTTTAAATATGAGTACAGTTTTAGAAGGCTATTAACAGACTGTCCCTCCTCCCTCTCACCCACCCTTATTCAAACACAATGAAGAAAAGTTTAACTTACAACAATTATACTGAAAGGAACAATTATTCCTGCTAACAACTTATAAGAAATGGTGTCCTCTTTGTATGGATACCGGATGGATTCATCACTACAGAAAACTCCTCTTTGGAAGGGAATACGTCTTGAATTGAGAATTGCAAAAGGCAAGCCAGCTAGCAAAAAGGAATAAAAAATACATTACAAAAGCAACACAAACTCTGACGATGATTATACCCCCAAATTTCCAAAGAGAAGTGCATAAAGAGGAACTGACATGCAGCAAGTTAGAAGGTTATGCACTTCCTTTGGTCAATAACTACTGCCTTGTCTTTGCAGCTCCCAGGACGGGCTGCTGAATGAAGGAGAGCAGGACAGGATTCCTCTCACCTTTGTGCATTTGTGGCACATCCTGTATGGAAGGATGCCAAAGCCAAGGTTGAGTAAACAGTTCAGTGACAACCACTGAGTTGCTCAGTCTGCTGCTATTGCCACAATTATCAACTATTCATTTATATCCCAGTGAGCAACAGTTACCCCTTTATAACTTCTCTGGACCACTTTGTAAGTCAGAAGAGCATAAGCTGCATTTCATGAAAGCAGAAAAGGGGTAGGGTACTTCTCAGGGAGAGCAAGTGCAGAGGGAGTTTTCAGGGAAAGATATGGAAAAAAGCAAAAATTACACATGCATGCAATCCCCTCACTTCCATATACACTGTGTAGTTCCCTGGAACAATGTGGTCACTGCACAACCTGTACAACCTGAAGGCATAGAGATTTGATTCTGCTCTCTTCCACAAGAGAGGAAGCCTTTGACTCATCCGAAACTCATCAGATGAGTGTGAACAATGCTTTGTGCTATTGCACCTCAGGAGATCTGCAGCACTAATCAAGACCAGTCATTTGAACAGCAAAGTCTTAAGAACACCTCAAAACAGGATACAAAGTACCACAAACTAACAAAATAATTCAGTTTTTAAACTCTGATCCTCCATCCTTGACACACACAAGCATCCTTCTGTCCAGGAATTAATACTATTCTAAAGAAACAGCTGTATGGAAAGAAGTGGGGTACTAACAGGAATTTTCAAGAAAAAAGCAAGGCATCTTTTTTTAACTGAGGGATGTACAGCCCAGTGGTAATAAAGTGCTTAAAAGCTCTTGGTTTTGTGGTGAAAATTCAGAAGTACTGCACATAAAATGCATACAAACTTAGACAACAGAAATAATCTGAGGAGGAGCACTCCTAATAAAGGACCAGAAGGATGAAAAGCAGCTTCCTTCCTTTCTTCATGCCAGTAAAAGATGTTGCTGTAGTCTGGTATTTCTCCTCAGGATCTCCATGTCAAGGGAAAGCCCAGGTCTTGCTTTTCTTATACACAGCCACCCCCAAATAAGTGTGTGTAAACAAAAGTAAACATGGAAAGAACAGGAGAAGAAAAAAATATATATATATTGGAGTACCAACCAAGCAATAGGAGAACCACTAGGAAAGAAAACATTTGACTTAGAGTCAAGACATACAAGAAGTAAATAAGAAAAAAAATATATGCAGAATCCTTTTCAACCCTCTTGCCTCTTAAGACTTCCACCCATGGGTTTCTTCAAACAAAGCCTGACTCAAGGGCCCATCACAAATGAGACATACTGTGGTTTCACCAATTATTTGCTATCAATCTTGTTCTTCACATCACAAAGTGGCTGCCTAAAAGAATGCTTGAGTTTGAAAACAGACACAGAAGAACAAATACTTCCTTCAAGTGACCTCCGATAAATGACACACAGCTTTTGTTCCACTAAGTTACAGGCTCATCATGGTCCCCACATATTCCAGCTAAGCCCATCACAAAGAATCAGGAATCTTCTGTACTGTTACAATAATAAAACCCATACCACGCAAAATCTCCCCTCTCAAAGTGACAAAGAAATAACACTGTCATTTGCAAAGAAGGGTTGTTTCCAGCTCCATGCCAGAGGGACTGCAACTGACCTAGGTCTGGAAGCTGTCCAAGCACACCCATAGAGCAGGAGGACACTAAAATGCGCTAAGAGCCAAGCCAGAGCCTCACCAAAACTCTGAACCATTCAGCCACCACCCAGCACAGAGCCCTGGCACTGGACTCTGCAGGACAGTGCAAAACACCACCTTTCCTACCAGGGGAAAAAATTAAACCCCTTTATGAAAAACTCTGCAGCACAGACCTCATTTCTGCCCTTCCCTTGTGTTGGTATTGTGACAACATGTCACAATATATCATCAGTTGTTTAGTGCTTTGGTAACTTGAGCTATGGAAGAGGCAGAAGCAGCGCACAGTCGTGGCAAGGGAAGGTGGCCAGTCAACACAATGCTGTGGTGTTACAAACACCATTTATTCTATAGAGTATATATGAAATTAAAACTTCATCCTTTGTCCTGCACATACAGCAACACCAATATTCAAAACTGTATATTTGAGAAAAGTGTATTTTTTTACATCTGCAGAACTGGAGAACGAAAAATACACAAATAAGAGGTATTGATAGGTTTACTTCTTTGGAGTAGCTAGTTTTAATTACCATAGTAAAGTAGTTGCTCACAAAATTTAGTTCAGCGTAGAAAAACCTTATCATTGCTTTGGCACGCTGCCACAAATACTTGCCCTCATGGTTAGGTTGCATCAATGACATCACATCACTAGCTCTGCATCATCCTTTTTAAAGGGCTGCTCTACGAACAGTGGTGGTGTGGTGGCTCACTCCTAATTTCCTTCTACCCACAGCTGAATGTTTCGGCTTTTCAAGACGGGCCATAAAGTCTTCAGAGTGCTCAGATTATTCAGGTGTTGCTTTATGTAATTAGCTGCTGCTAGATCAGAAATTTAAGCAACGGCATGTGGATCATGGGAATGAAGCCCCTCATGCAGCAATTACATGTGCTTTTCCACGCAAAGAGAAGCTCCTTAAAATGTGTGCTCACCCTTCAGCAATATTGAGATTATGATGTAGTGAGTCTGTAGTTGCTTACAGCACCTTCTTATATAAAGATCACGCAAACAAAATAGCAAAACAACTCCAAGCCTGTTTTTTCTTCTTTTTAAGCAAGTAAGAGCCAGTTAAAATAAGTTATTAAAGTGCCTTCTCTATCTTCATTTCTTACCGCCTCTCTTATGTCATCTAAAACCAAACTCACTTTGCTAATTATAGCCAGCAGAATTTAGGTAGACAGCATGAGTTTTGAAGTCCTAGGTATCTGCCTGTTTTTAAATAAATTAACTGGAAAACCTATGCACTGAAATACAATACTGGTAAAAAAAACTCGAATAATAACATTCTTTAAGTGTTTCTTCATTTTTCCCAACTGTAAAACATTTTTTAAGTCATTCCAATCATTTGTCTTACTGCTGTTTTCAGCACATTTCACTGCTCTAAGAAGTGCTCCATGAAAGTTTGAGATAAAACTTCTGATTTCTAAAAACACATTAAAGTAAGATCAGATTTTTAATTTACTTTTTGCTCAATCTAAGGCATTCAACAGCCTGAAAACAACGTGCCACTGCTGGCATTTGCTGTCTTTTTGGTTAATGTACTCCCCAATGTCAAAACCTACTCCCGCAGAACACACTCCATACAGCAGGTTCTACTTACTACTTTTAAACATACATTCAATATTACTTGGTGGGAGGTGGAAGAAAAGTAGAAGTCAAACAAAAGAGGCAGCAACTCCTACTGTTTCTGGCAAATAAACCCCTTAAGAAAAACTTAGGGGTTTTGTTCTCTTAAATGAATCAGTGAAGTCTGATTTTGTGGGATTTCAAGGCGTTGTTTTTTCTTAAATTTCAAATATACAGCTTAAGTCTTTTCTGCAGTTCCGATTTCTCTCCCTTGAAGACAACACAGGAAAAAAGTACAGTTTGGCTTTTTTTTAGTACAAGCAGGACATCCAACCATAAGAACTGTCATAAATGATGAAAGAGATAAAGCCTATTACTACAGCAAGTACAACAGCAGAGTTTCCCTATAGTTAGGATATGCTATTTTTTCACAAGAGAGATATTGCAATTTCAGAAGACAGGAATAAGTTTTTGCATCACAGTAGCAATTTCCTAAGTACGAAACCTGCTGGCACAGGAGGATGGGATATGAGTGAAGACAGTAAGTGACATTTGTCTTAATAAAACTATAATTAGTGTCAATGTCTTCCCAGATAAAACTGAAAAACAAGTTTCAGGAAGTGGTCTGCTTCCTTGCCAGAAGATTTATCCATGTATCTGAAGTAATTTTCTCAAGGAAAAATAGCGAAGATTCAAGAGCAAATCACTAGGAAAAGAAATTCTGCTCATCTGCCATAGTCACATGCTGCCACAGTAAGTTAAAAGAAAGGCCTTCATTTTTCTACGAATAGCTTTTTTTTCCCTAATCTAGCTACAATTTCTAAGGGCAGAGTTTGGCTCATTAAAAAAAGAAGTTATTAAAAGTCAGTTGGGCTCAGATTTACATGCAGTAGAAGAAATTGGGGCATTTAAGTACTTCTTTTAATCAAAGAGTGCAGAATGCAGAGCCATTAAAGGTTCTCTACTGGATATTTCCCATATGACAATACCAAAAAACATCCCTAGTGTACACTTCATTTTCCAAGTCAATTGTAACACAGTGAGGAAATTGCCTAAAGGGAAGATGGCAGCAAGTATGTAAGAGGAATTATAAGGCTGGGAACACATTGCCAGTAGGGTCAATCTCAAGGACAAAGCCAACAAGCTAGTGTAATGCAATGCATATGCCAGCATCATTAATGAATAACTAGTAGATGTACTGCTGACAGAGCTGGCAATTCTTTGATACAGTGGAAGATCAAGGTCGGCCAGTTCTACTTGCAAAACAACTCTTAAAGACTGAAGCAATAGAACAGATGGATATTTGTGCAGCAACAAGTTCAGAGTCATTCACTTGGAGATTAAACGAGCTGGGAGTCCATCAGTTCAAAATATGAGGGAAAAACAATGTCTGCTTCCTATGGTTCTTATACATCAATATAATGGTGTAATCATTAGACAAGTCTTTACAAAGGCATTAGCAGTTTTTGTTACCCAACAAGAGTTTCTTCTGAAATAGCAAGAATTTTCAAACATGTTACATTTTAATTCATCTGTCTTAAATGCAGACAGAGAAGGACTGGTAAAGTACATTCCTTGTTATCTCAAAAT